AATCATATATATATATATATATATATGTATGTATATCTCCCAAATGATTTAGTATTTTTCAGTCAAGGATGAAGAACTCATTTCCAAAATTAGCAACCCAGTATTATATTTTCACATTGTGAAGCAATTAAAATCATATGCTCAGGCCGGGATTTAACTCAGTGGTGCTGCTGCCTGCCTCACAACTGCAAGGTCCCGAGTTCGAGTCCCAGTACCAAATATATATGTATGTATATCTCCCAAATGATTTAGTATTTTTCAGTCAAGGATGAAGAACTCATTTCCAAAATTAGCAACCCAGTATTATATTTTCACATTGTGAAGCAATTAAAATCATATGCTCAGGCCGGGATTTAACTCAGTGGTGCTGCTGCCTGCCTCACAACTGCAAGGTCCCGAGTTCGAGTCCCAGTACCAAAATAAATAATAAATAAATAAACAAATCATATGCTTAATAATAGGGAAGGCAGTAAGCTTGGTATACCACGAGATTTTAAAATTAAATAAATGAGCTTAATTCTGAGTTTCTTACCTAATACAGCATGAATTTCTTGCTCCTGACTATCTTCAAAGGAGGCCAGCATTTTTGAATATGTATCATTCCACCAAGGACTGTACTTCAAAATCTGTTCAACTGCCTCACCTTCGAAAAAGTCAGCTCTGGAAAAAAAAAAAAATAGTGCATGGACTTGTTGCACTGTATTACTTTGGCTTTCAGTTTTTGAAACTTTTAAATCATCACATTCACACTAAAAATATAGATTATTAATTCAAAGTATATTTCCAGGAAAATCTGAGCACCATATTTACTTTCTTTGTGGTTACTAATCCCCATAAAAGAAGCATCATCTAATGAAAGGGGTATCTGACATTTGTGATCTCTTTAACTCGAGGGGACGCAGACAGACCTGTCTACCCTGAGGTCCCATCCTATAGTTCATGGTGGGCAATGAGTGAGGGGAACCTGAACACACACTGAACTGATACCTGGTACTTGTGTTACATTTGCTAGTACCACCAATTCTGCTAAGGTTACAAATAATGAGAAGATCTTCCAAATCCATCATCGAAGAAAAATAAACATAACCAGGAAATTCAAGATACTGTATCATTGAAAGGAGCTAAAGAAGGCTACACACGGGCGTGCACACACACACACACACACACACACACACACACACACCTCTACCTTTTTTAAACATATACCAATAATTATACTAAGCCAAAAGTTATTTCATTTAACTAAACTAATCTTAAGAGTTTCTTCATTTTAAACTACTGTAAAAGAGAGAACAGAAAAACCAACGTTTTTGAGTTTCACTCTCTCAGTTTTAATACTATCAAACTATACCTCTCAGTCTTGGAGGACAAATATTCAGAAATTTCACTATCTGTGTACAAGATCAGAAATTGGTATTCTTGGAAAAAGAGCATGACGAGGCACAATTTCTAGTAAAAACTTAATTTATACCTCAATTAACAGGAATCTCAATGAACTGGTTGCCTTGACAAACTGAATTTTCTAGCTGAAGCTTTCTGACTTTACTTTCTCTTCTTTCACCTGAAATACTGAAATCTTTTTCAAATTAGAAAAATCAAAGTTAACTTGCTGAGTTCTTTGTTAAAGACACTGCACTGTTTTGCATCCCTTCTACTTTTCTGACTCCTCACACTGCCACCAGGGTGCAAAGAGCTGGTACTATTTTCTCTATTTATAAAATAAATATTTTTAAAATTTTCTATTTTATTAGTACATGTTTACAATACAGAATGATTACATTCAGCATGGAGAGTTGGTACATGTACAGAAACACATCTTAATATTTTTTTCTTCCTCTTCTTCAACCCTCCCTCTCACCTCTGGGTGGTACCTTTAAAATCCTCATTTTAATGTATCTTGGCCAAGTCTTGAGAATCAGGAAGAGGTGTGACCTAGAAGTGGACCCACTTAAGCCTTACTGCAGGATCCAAGCTCTTTTATTTCATTTTCACACTGACTGACTAGTGCTGGAGATGGAACCCGTGGCCTTGTGGCTTATGCTAGGCAACCACTGCATTCCTGAGCTAGATCTCCAGGTACTTTTTATTTTATTTTAGACAGGGTCTCACTAAATTACCCAGCCTTAAACCTCCTGTCTCAGCTTCCTGGGTGGCCAGCTGGGTTAGAGGCATGTGCCACCATATCCAGCTCCAGAATACAAGCTCTTTACACACATATTTCATTTTCATGCATGAGGAAATAAAGTTATTTTAAGCAAACAACTAACACCTTGAAATGGGAATTCTCAATATTCATTTTTGTCAGGTACACAAGGAATACAAGACTAGGATAAAGCAGCTGCTTTATAAACTATAGCGGTATCTTTTTCTTAAAGCAAAGGTAAACTCTCTGAATTGAGTTTCTACTATAGATTTATCCACAAATCACAGCTTTTTGTAGGAAATGAATTTCAAACAGAATAAGCAATGACAGTAAATGGCTAAAATCTAAAAATAAAATCATTCAACATGTCTTGACTTTGTACCATGTCAGGCCCTGGGTACACTGCTGATAAGATGTGGACTGTCCTGGTCCCCACAGAACTTCTAGACCCATGAGAGAGTCAAGTCCTTACATACTGCATCGTGCTATGACACAGCAGTGTAAGATCCCATGGCAAAGCACAACTGGGATGACGACAGGCAAATTTTCATCAATGCCATAGTACAGAACACGGGCAGGAGTGATAAAAGCGAGGCAACAGATTTAGGCAGAGTCCAGACCACAGAACCTTCTATGTCATGCCAAGGAGTGAGAGGCCTATGCTCTAAGCAAAAGAGCACCAAGTATGAATATCAGCCATTATGCTGGTGGCTTTATGGTTGATGGAGTTCAAGAAGTTCAAACTGGCAGGAGAGATGCCAGTTAGGCGGTTAGCCTGACACAAATGAGGGCCAGAAATAGATGGAATGAAAGAAATAATAAAGAGATAAATGGTACAATTTCAGACCAATTCAATGTGTGGGATAGGAAAGAAGTCAAAGGCTGGGGAATTGGTTCAGTGGTTCTGCCACCTGCTTCGCAAGTGCAAAGACCCGAGTTCAATGCCCAGCACCAAAAAACAAAAAACAAAACAAAAAAAAAACAGAAGGAGTCAAAGATGAATCTCTGCATTTAACCTAGGTGACTGGGGTGAAAAATAGGGCACTCAACCAAGTGAGAAAATTCAGGACAACATTAGAGGTAAAATAATGAGTTCAATTTTGGACGTGCTGAAATAGAAGAGCTTGTGGATATGCAGTCACTCTCTAAACCTTCAATCTGCTTTTACTTCACAGTCCTTATCACAACAGAAATATCACCTGTATCCCCTACCAGAACATAAGCCCTATGAGTGTAGATATCCAGATGTACACACTTGGTATCCTGGGTGTCTGAAGCACCACCTAGCACATGGTTCACTCAGACATATACTAGCTAAACAAATAAATGCATAAACTAAAAAATGACTCTATGACATTTCATTCTAATGCTTTTTGCCTATGGTGGGATTTTGACACCTTGAAGCATGTGACCTTCCTCCCAGCCTCCCAATTACTACTTGTGTCTTCAGATCTACTCAAAACATCCAAAAGACTGATCAATATTCCATCTTCTATAATAAATAAATTTAGAATGAAAAATCATCACAATTTAAAACAGCATCCCAAATGGATATGATCATTTTTGTATCTTTCCTTATCTTGCAGAATGTTGCAGTGATGATTAAATTATTTCTCCTAAATAAGCAAAAATTTAGATAAGTAAAAACATAATGCCAGCAATTTTTTTTAAATGAAAGGAAATAAGCCACTGCTCTCAGAAAAACACAAAACCTGGCTATAAACAAAAAGAGAACAATTACAAAAGGATGCTTCCGGATGTTGTCAACATATTTTAGTGTAAAAATGACATCCAAAAGGAATTATAAGTCATAAGAAATGGATAATCAAAACAATAAATGCTTAGGAGTCATCTATTATATGCCTTGTCCTGTGCTGGGCTACAAAACACAGCAAAACAAAATGAAACAAATTACACCACATTTATATTGTTTTACAATAAAGGTTTTCTAAAACAGTAATATCCAAAGTCTGTTACATTTGTAGTCAAATGTATAAATTTTTCTTCACAATCAATTTACCTCACTGTGGTTTGTTTAGGCTGAAATCAAAATTAGTATTCAGTGAGTTGACAAAAATCTGACATGAGATTCATGATTCTTAAAGACAGGTCAAACAACTTAAAAATAGGGGACATATTATACTAGTGTAACAGATATTAGTGCTACATGTGACTATTACATGTATATATGTATAAAATAATAAATGATACAGATTACCTACATGGTAGATTATAAGGAATTTAAAGTGAGCCCTTTTTTCCACTGTGTAAACCACTAAAGAAGCAGTGAGCTAAAGAGCTTTTTATTGAAAACTTTAAAGTACTTTGCGCATCATCTAATACTAATACATTTGGGTGAGTCAATCAGCTAATTATTATGAATAATGAGTAGTGGCCAGGTACAATAGTACATGCCTGTAATCCCAGCTTCTCTGGGGGTTGAAGCAGGAGGATTACAAGTTAAAGGCTCCCCTGAGCAACTTAGTGAGATTTTGCCTTAAAATAATAAAAAATGTTTAAAGGAATGGGGATATAGTTCAATGGGTTCCATAAAAATTACAAATAGCTCAAGTCATTTCTAAAAGAAAAGTCACAAAGAACTTGCTCTCCTGACCTAGATCATGACTAAATGTAAGCCACTCCTGTTAAGAACTACTCCTGCCACAACAGAAAGAACATTTCACACACACTATTAAAAAAAATGAGCTGCTGGATAAAGAAACACAAAAGACAGAAAAAAAGTAAGAGCTGCTTACAGTATCATACTGCCAACTATAAATTTCAATTTCCTAATTCTCTCAGGCCACAGACTTGTTCTTCTAGTTGGAGAAGAGATAGGCAGTTCTTCTAATTAAGCTCCCTCCCACTCAAATTTTCAATGTTGTAAAGCTCATTCTGTTTTCATGCTAGGCAAGAAATTTGCTGACAGTGAAATTTCCACTTTAAATATTCAGCTGATTTTAAATGGGTTTCTTCAAATTACTCTTTAGTGGACCTTTAAAATCACAATTGGATAGATCAAGGTAATTAGAAATGGCAATGTAAATGGAGCTGAATCTCTCAATGTCCTCCAGAATGTAACATATCCCGCTCATACCCAGTTTCCCTTAGGATGTTGAACAGTTCAACCATTTATCATTCACTCCATTTGCACATCACAAGATATATTTCTGCCATTACAATTAGTATCCTACTGTGTCACAGGAGATAGAATGTTAATCACAAGAGCAACAGCAATTAAACTGAAATAGCATACATAAAAAGGAAATACAAAATGACAAGTGGAGAGACTGTTTCAAGGCCTGGCCCGGTCACTTAGTACTAGTGTGACCCTGGTCAAGTCCCTTAAACTCCTTTCATCATCTGTTGTAAAAACTGCATTAACCACAAGAGCGCTCGCTAAGCAAAGAGCACTTGACAAACAGAAGGGGAAGTGATGACGAGAGCTGCACATATAACAGTTTAGAAGCTGTTGGCCCGGAACTTGGGAAGAATAAAAAGTGACATTTACGTAAATATACAACACCCAAACTCCACACACCCTAGGACAGCCAGGTACCACGAGAGGCCAGGTGACAATGTGAAGGGCTGCAGTCACCGCCAGTGAGAGACATCACAATCTCTCAAGTGATCATTAATCAACTAAGATCCGTATGCACAAACAACTCTCACAGAGACACAGTCTGACTAAAGGCACGACTAATGCAAGTGGGAAACACAGAAAACCTCAAAATTAAATATAATCTACCACACAGGAAAATCATTTGAAACAGATTACAGTGATAGTGGCTGACGTGTTAGAAGACCCTGGATCAGCAGAAATGAAGCACATGTAGGTTCAACATCTTAGCTGACTCAGACATCCTCCCTTTTATGCACACCATTAATTACCAAAACATCCTACTTTCTAAAAGTGTGTAATCTCTCAAATTAGTCTTGTTGCTAAGCATGGTGAGAAAAAGCTCAAAAAAGTACATTAGTCGAGTCCTCTACTGCTTGGATGAAACACTGGGAAGCAATATTTGCTAAGATCACAAAGGTATCACACTGGCAAGTTACCTCAAATGCCAACTAAGGTTTTGAGCCATCCCTAATTTCTAAGAACCAAAATGCACATGCCCCGTACAGGTAAAGACACTCAAAACTTTTTTAAACACATGTCAAGTAAATCATTTAATCCTCAAAAAACTCAATACTCACAAATAATAATCAGGATCGAATTTGGCCAGCTCCGCAGCAAGGCGTTTCTGCCTTCGTTCAGCTGCAGGGGTGTCATCTGGATTCTTAATATCAATAACTTCACTCAATTCATCCTAGGAGCACCCAGAAAAGAAAGAATAATTGCTACCTATTTTTGGCATTTAAAACTCAAATGTGGCCAAGAAAAAACAAAAAACAAAGTCAAAGCACATGAAGAACCTAACTGGTCAGTGAAGCACGGTGCCATCTATGACATTCAGATTCAAAGCCAGGAAGTGCTAATTATGTACTATTCCCTAGGCCAGTGGTGGGGAACCTATGGCACACGTGCCGTGCCGCAGCAGGCTGTGTGTGTCACTGAAAACTCTAAAAGGTTCACCATCACTGCCCTAAGCCCTGTCAGCAATCTTCACATACATTATCTCATTTAATCCTTAGAACGAACTAATTAACAACTATGAAGGTTATAAAAGTTTAACATAAAAAGAACAGTGGAATAAACCCCTGCAAGCAAACAAAAACAATTAATTCTCCCTAAAGATCTGAAAGCTAATAGAGGTAGAGCAGTTTAAAGATCACAGATAGACCGTTTCTCCCTACAGTCAAGCTCAGCTGGTTTCAATTACTGTCTAAGACTATAAAGCAAAACCATGCATTCTACATAGTTAGTTTCTGTGGGCAAGTTTGATGCACATAGCTTTCCATTTGAAAATTTCAACTTTACTGTAATTGTCTTTACTAAGATAAACATATATTAACACGTAGCATGTTTTCCAAGCAGAATCCTAAACAGTAGGTGTGTATTAGAAATACTGCCTAATTTGATCCTTATGTATGCTTAGCCTAGGATACCACAGGGTCTTAATTCTTTTGATCAGAACTGTGGAGCACTACTGCTCCCTGTACTCCTTGGCTTTCCTCCCTCAGCTTCAGTTTCCTCACTTGTTAGGAGTGGTTAAAAAGGGAGGGTAGGGCAGGGTTAAGGGGAAAAAATGAGAATCAAGACTTGTCATGTAGAGGTACAAGATCCCAACAATTAATGTAACTGTACTGTATCCCTGAAATGTACCAATAAACTCAATTAAAGCTGGAAAAAAAAAAAAGGGAGGGTAGAAAATTACATGCTCCATTTCACTATTTCACCTGGACCAGACATGAGCCCATAAATAAAGTATAATTAATGAGTCTTGGTAGATAATTTTACCTTTCAGAGAATAAACGGACTCACATAATCACAAGCATAAACCCAGACTTTTAGTATAGCTCCATGTCAGCTAATCTGTCTTGCCTTTCAATCTCATGTCACCCTTCCCCTTCTGACTCCAGTATGCTCAAGCCACATGCCAGATTCCTTTCCAGCCTAGAACACACCAATTCAGTCTCCCATTCTGAGCCTTTCCACTTTACTGTGCAGAACTCAGTGTAAATGGTCTGTCCTCAAAAGGGCCTTCTCTGAGCATTCTAACAAGCAATACCCATCCTTTTCCTTTACCTATCTATCACTCACTACCTGTCACTTATATGTTGTTTGCATGATTGCTGTCTGTTGCCCTGTTAAAATCTCCTTGAGGGCAGGAGTCTGGTCTATTTTCCTTCCACCGCATCCCCAGCACTGAGCCAGTTTTAATACTAAATTGTTAGTCAACAAACAGTACATAAGGGCCTGCTATGGGCTAGACACTGTTCTGGGTGCTGGAGGGACGTAATGAACATATACAAAGGTCCTGCACTTATGGGAAGGAAAACTGACCAATAAAGTAGCTCTACTTTTTGTCCCTTTTCCTCTCTCCTCTGGTCTTGTGACTCTGGGCCTCCACATAGTCATACTACAGGTATAAAATGGCACCAGTGTTCACAGCAGTACAAATCCTGCCCAGGCTTGCTAAACAGAAGTCACAGACAGAAGACCTGCTCACGCTGAACCCTAAAATCAAATAAGCAAACTAAAAGGTAAAGTTAATTTGGAATCTATAAGTCTAAGGCATCACTCAACCAAAGGGAAAGTAGGAGAGGATGAGAATGTTAAACTACAGAAGACTTTTTTTTTAAGGATTTTTTTTTTAAGAATTGCTACTGTCATGAGTCATCTTTGCTCTTTAAAGATGGGCACTGCCAGGTTAAGGTTACGAAGGATTTAAATCAGGCTTATGTATGTTTAGCCACAGATAAAGCAGAGCTAATCCAAACAGAAAATGAAGAACGGTGTGCACATCTGGCCAGTGTGTGTGCTGGAAACAAAGATCTCCCATCCCAGTACGGCTAGGGGAAGGAAAGGGCCAGCAAGCCTGGCATCCCACAGCTGTTGGCAACAGCAGTCACAGGAGCTGGCTGGGTTGGCACCCAGAGACTCTAGGACTGTGGCTGCTGGCAGCCACTGGAGCCAAAGCTTGCTGTGCAGCCCTGACTTTCAGCAGCTAGGGAAGTTTTCCAAAGGCACCCTGCTGGCTGACAGCAATTTCAGAAAGAAAAGAAAACAAGGGGTGTGTCTACATGTGTATGGGGGGGGTTAAAAAATGTTTCTGCAAAAATATTTTTATTTTCTCCTCATAACCAGTATAAAATACAGAAGTTCACAAAACTGCTTAAGAGGCCGGAATGAGAAAAAGTAGGAAAGAGTACATCCCCCATTTTTTATTAGTGTATGTTTGGAATACAAAATAGTTACATTCATTTTGCAGAATTGGTACATGTATATAACATATCCTGATCATCGTAAATCCCTTTACGAGTCAAAATACGTAGGTGTTGGAATTATGGGTGATTTTTTTACTTTCTTTGAATTTATTTTCTTTGTATTTCTTTTATCATCCAAAAAAATAAAACCATTTTTCATTTAAGGTGGGGGTAACGCTGTAAAAGTACTGCTAAATTATGAGTGGGGAATAAAACTTAATGGATTTTTTTTTTTCTCATCCAAAGGCAGAAACTAAACTTGAGAGAAAACATTGCATTAGAGAAAATGGATACACCACCCCTCCCTCATACTGGGGACTGAACCAAGGGCTTTCATACCAAGCCACACCTACATACCATTTTTATTTTTAACCACCTGGTATTACTGCCAGAGTAGTTGTAAATGTGGAAGAACTCTACAAGTATACCAAGTGCATGAGTTTTGTGACAATATCTCATAAAATATACCTATCTTAATACTTTGAAAAGACAGACTACTCTTAATTCTTGGCATCCTGGTTAGCTATGATTTCTCAAAGTGTGGTTATTACCTAGTTTTCAAGGACACATCTCCTTCAAATTTAATTCATGTAAGAAAATACTACTTTATTTAGGAGCTATACACATCCATCGGTTTGTCTCCTGGTCAAATGAGCACATATAACAGTAATGTCATGAAAATACTGCACTGTTGAGCTGAGGAACACAGCATGCTCAGCACAGTACCATCCAAATTCCCAAAGCAAAGTAAGCTTCAGGGTTCGGGTTTAGAAAGGTAGGGCCAGGGGTTTAGCTCAGCGGTGCCACCGCCTGCCTTGCAAGCACAAGGGCCTGCATTCCATTCCCAGTATAGCAAAAAAAAAGAAAGAAAGATAATATGGTATGTACAGTATTTTACTTGGCCCCTAAGAATTCTCAGGTAGTACCCAATACCCAAATACATTACTATTTCTCCAATAAAAATTCTGTATATTAACTCTAAGTGTATAATGAAAACTTAACATCAATTCAGACATGGTTTTGCTACCAGATTAAATATTTTTCAAACTGCCAGTTTGTGGGACTTTTTAGGGGTCCCAGTATTACGGACAAGGGTGATAAGCCTCTACGACTAGCAGTATACTTACTGCATTACAAAGCCCTTAGAGTTCACTCTCATGAACAGCTTTCTCTGTCTTAGGTTGAAAGAATACGCATTCAAATTGTTTAGAAAAGCAATGTTCATTCATTGAAAACAAAAAGACGTTTCCTCTTCTCAGCTGGCTCACAGGAATTTAGGCATCTGATGTATTAGGTAAGCCATTCAAAAAGATACAAAGACTATTTCATGTACATTTGTATTGAAATATCAAATTTATTCTATTAATGTGCACAATTTTTATGTTTTTAAGTGCCATTTTTTAAAAAAAGAATATTTTATAGCAACATTCTTCTAAAATCTATCTAAATTTCTTTTTGTATCTTTCAACAGATACAAGAACTCGACTTAAAAGGCTCAGCCTGTTACTGTGTCAGAAACCCCTCAATAGGCTGTCTTCCCTAAACAGCAGCAGGAAACCATGTGTCAAGCTCCCTGGCCTCGGGAAGCACTGTTAACCTGAATGTACAATCTGTACTCAGCGTGGGTGATATTTACGAGTCTCTATTCATTTCCAGTTCTGGACTGGCAAGCCCCACATGGACAGACACATACCAGCTCTCGGCGAAACAACAGAGATGCATTCACTACAGCCCTGCACAGACAAAACTCACTGTTTTCACTACCTCAGAGTTCACCAGGGAACATAAGCAGGCAGAGTATAATTCAGCAGAAAGATGACAAAGCTTTTGGAAGAAAGTATTTCTCCACCATTATTTGCTCCTAAGTAAATCCCAACTTTGTTCCTTGGCAGACATCTTGAATATATTTTGTGCTTTTGAAAGGTGCGGATCTTTATAGTATTCTATTCCTCACAGTTTTCCCATGGAATATCATTCTAACTTTTCAAAACAAACTTATAAAGTTAGTAAGCAAATTTATCCCCACATTACAAAGAAAAGACAAAAACTTACTTGAGGTAAAATAACTGACATAGTGTCTCATATCTACACAGATGTAGAAGTGGAACCAGAACCTAGGTCCTTTGCCTTTCATGATTCAAATATATGTTCCTTGTTTAGTGACCTATATGTTTAATGACTGTTCACACTTATGATAAAGGCACACTGTTTAGACTTACAAGCCATTGGCTTTTTTTTTGTACAGTTCTGTGTATATTGTTGATAGAGCTTGTGTCTTTTTCTTTATACAGTACACCTTTTTATACAGTATAATGTCACTGATTATTCCATACAGTGTAATACTGTAGTTTTATGTTCTGTATACATTACAGTACTGCATGCAAGAGTTATGCAAATAAAAATAAAGTCATCAGGCCGGGCGTGGTGGTGCACGCCTGTAATCCCAGGAGTCAGGAGACTGAGCAGGAGGATCGCTGTGAGTTCGAGGCCAGCCTGGGCTACATAGTAAATTTCAGGTCAGTCTCAACTACATAGTGAGACCCTGTCTCAAAAAAAAAAAAAAAAAAAGGCAAAGTCATCCAGTTGGAGTTTCCTTTGACCATTTCTTTGTTCTGAACATTATAATAATATATTATTAACAATTCCTTGTTTAGCAACCTAGTCGCAGAGCTTGGTCATTAAAAGAGGAACATCTGTATGTCTACTACAGATTATATATCTCTAACTGGAAAATCTAACCTCCAAAATGTTCCAAAGTTTGAAATATTCCTGAGCAGCATTCAAAATGAGACCTTCATTTGGTCTTCATTAAGAATAAACAGACCATGCATGGGCCAGGGATTTAGCTCAGTGGTGCCACTGCCTGCCTCAAAAGTGCAAAGTCCTGAGTTCAATACCTGGTACCAAAAGATAAATAAATAAATAATAAACAGACCTACTGTACATTAAGATCTGAAAAATTTGAAAAAACACACAATTTCAATCTCACTAGAAAATCCTGTCTCATTTATATGCAAAACAGAAGAGGTAAGTACATGAACTCCATTTTTCATAAATATGGAACATAAAGACTTCCAGAAAGCACAAGGAGAGAGGGTCTTGCTTTATATTTCAGCAACTTCAGATTTAGAGTGCTGATGGAAGGGGGAAAGACAACATCAGAGCAAGTGTAAGAACAATGAGTCTAAGCAGAACAGCCAATAATATAGACAGGGATGGGTATATGCAAGGAGCAGTGCTATACACTCTAAATATGTCACCCTTTGTACTTTTCATGAAAAACCACCCAGTAAAAGCAAAATTAAAACCAAAATAAAGACCCAAGCTCTTTCAGAAAAGACAATCTACCTGCAATCGCTGAACCACTCCTGACCGCAAGTTTCCAAATCCATAGCGGCACTGTGGATGCAAAGTACTTTCAGATACCTCTTCGTAGGGAGTCTGTTCAATCTCCCAGTCAAACTCTTCGTCATCATGTTCTACTTCCTCAGAATCTTCAGAAGCACCTAAGTATGTTAAAATATTTTCTTTTTTAAAAAGACCTGAATTTCCTAGTTACAGATAAGGGAAGAACAAGTACTATAGGAAAAAAGCACTGAAGACACACACAGGAATATTCACAGATCGATTTTCATAGCAGTCAACAAGTGGAACTAACTCAAACGCTCAGCAGCAGCAAGAAATGTAAAGAACTGCAGTGTATTCACAAATGGAATGATCTATCGTAGTGGGAGCAGATGGGTTTCTAGAGGAGTGGTGACCTTAAAAGGCAAAGAGGGCAAAATAACTAGGAAAGACACAAGTGGGATCCAAGGTAATGGAAATAAACATTCGGTTCGCGACCTAATTCGCACTCGTGTTATATAACTCTTTGAATTGTACACTCCTGATCTAAGTACAAAAAACTAATATTTTGCCAAAGACAAAACAGTTTTAATCAGCCCAAAAATGTGGCTGATCCACTGGCTCATCAGGGCTATTGATGTCTTTTAATTATTAACAACAAATGAGCAATCTTCACATCTTATCTTGTCACCTACTGTATTCTTCAGGGTCCTATCCACCGAATCTCTTTCCTTTGAAACACACAGCATTCCAAGTAATTTTATTTGTATTTGTATTTCCTCCTAACCACAATAAACATACCCATTTCTTCCACAAGTGGTTTAGCTGTCCTGGATTTTCTTGGTGCCAGAAGAGCAGTTAACATGTTCAGCCCTTCAAAATGCTGGCCAGGAGTTTCTTTGGGCAGTCGAATGGTAAAAATTCCTTAAAGATAAGTTTCATTTATGTTTAGATACATAAAAAATACTCAAAGGCTTCACAAATACAGCCAACAAATATATGTTGGCAATATATAATTCCATGTCAGAGGGCTCTGAAATTATGCCCTTATTACAGATTAGGTAGATTTAAATCAAGATAGGAAAAGGCATAAGCAGAGCTTTCAGAAGCTGTTCCTTCTAAGAAATTAACCCACTCGAGATACAGAATGCTTTAGTGTTACCTAGTATCACCTTAACCCACTGATAATATTTTTTTAATCTTTATTAAGTTTATTGATACATTGAGGTATACAATACAGTTACATTCATCATTGGGATCTTGTACCTTTATTTAATGTATCTGGGTTCTTATTTTTCCCATTCCCCAGCCCTCCCTCCTCTCTACTGTTTACAAAGATATTGTTTCCATGTTTTTCCTTTTCACATATTTTTTCTTTTCCCTTTTTACCTTTCCCCTACCCCTCCCACTTCCTCTACTCTTTTAGACCTTTTCTTCCCATTACACAATTCAACACCCATTCATGATTAAAAAAAAAAAAAACCCTGAAGAAAATTGGAATGGATGGTCTTTATCGCAACTTCATAAAAGCTATCTATGAAGAACCTACAGCCAACATCATACTAAATGGTCAAAAACTGAAAACCTTCATACTTAAATCAGGAACAAGACAAGGATATCCACTATCACTACTCTTGTTCAATATAGTTTTGGAAACATTAGCCATAGCAATGAGACAAGAGAAAAAAATAAAAACAATACAGACAGGAAAGGAAGAAGTTAAATTGTCATTAATTGCTGATGATGTGATACCCTACCAATATTAAAATCCAAGTCAAAACATCTAAAATTCAATGGCCTGAAAAGATAAGAGCTTATAATTGGCCAACAGTAACATATCTATTTCTAAAATATATTTCTGGACTTGAGGGAAAATTGGGATAGCTAACCCAGTAGAGCATAGCAGGAGTTTTAAACATACACAAAATATTGAGTAATTATGGACTACTAGAGGTTTTTTGATGTCTCAAGAGATAATCTCCCTTTAATCTGTATATAGCAGCCTGCAATTCTATCTGTACACATCTCTTCCTGCCTTCACTGGTCGATCAGCCTTATCTAGACTCCTACAGACTCACTACAGTATTTACTACTCTTATACATTTTAAATGCTAACTCTTCCATGCACTGATCTGCATCCCAATATATCACATATGAAACTCAACCCAAATATTTACTTATGCATAACCCCCCAAACTTCACGTACTTTCAAAATTTAATAATTTTATTTCACTATGTGATATATGTGTAATTAAGAGCATTATGTACTATAGTTAGGATGGTAGTCTCCTTATACTCCATTATCATATCTATTACTCTGCATTTGAGTGAAAACTGTTACCACTGAACTCTTTTATCCCACTCTCTCTCCCTTATCCTAGTTCACTGGGGTCAATAAATGGTCACTGAATAAATTACACAAGAATACACAAGGCACTCTTATTCCAGATCTACAGATAGAAGGAAAAACAGTGGCTTCTAGAAATGGAAAACAGTTTCATGGCTAGCTAAAATGAAGGACTTATCAATCATGTGAAAAAATTTCAATTAGCCTTTAAATGTCACCATGGATAGCTTCTCTCTCCTCTAGCTGTTATTAAAATTCAAGTTTAAAATTGTACAAGATTTCATTCAAAAGCTTATAAATCATCCACATGTTCTATAATCAATCATCTTACATGTTCTAATTTTTACTTTGAAACATCTAGTGAATGCAGGGGAAGTACTTCTAAAAACTGGAACCAAAGTATTTAATTCAACCTTACTTTGAAGGACATTGTGAAATACTTCAAAGGACTGAGGAAATCATAATTGTCCCAAAAATCCATGGATAACAGGCACCGGACTTTTAAAAAAGGGTGACAGAGCAGACTGCAATTGCAAGACATCTAAAAGTCCTCCTAATTTTATATCTTGAAAAACTTTTATGTAGATACTCTAACCTGAACAATCCAAGGAAAAGACTAACAAAAATTCTAAAGATGGTACCTTTATCTGCATCATAGGACCCCTGCTCACTTCCATTTTCTAAAATTCTTCCAGGAAGGGTTAACCTGAAAATTGAACAAGGTCTCATGAAATACTTAAAGTACAACATAACATAAATAGGCACCAATACATGTACTCATTGAACTTTATCAGTCATTCTATAAGGGATGCCTTAAAGAATAAGATCACGTCATTTGTATGAAAGGGGATGAAACTGTGGATCATCGTGGTAAGCAAACTAAGCCACACTCAAAAAGACAAGCAGCACATGTTTTCCCTCATAAATAGAATGGTGGGGAGGAAAATAAAAGCAGAAGCAAGACTTAGAAAAGAGGAACGGGGTCAAGGGAAGGGGAGAAGGAAAGGCAGCATAATGGAGAGAGGATATGATAAAAGTATGCTATACACATGTACAAAAATGTCCCAATGAAACCAATTCTGTGTAATGTGTGCTAATAAAAAAGTTTCAAAGATTAAAAGAGGAAATTTTCTAACATTTCTTTATGATAAAAGAAATTATTCTTTTCTCAACTAAGAAAGTAAAAATTAGAGATGACAATTTCTATTTGAGTAGCCCAGTCACCAACAGAGAATGAAGAAAAGCCATAATAAATATAATCACTACTATTATAGTGCTTCCCCTTTTAATGAATAGAATTATTTATATACCTAGTTCCTCCATAGCAGGTACTCAATAAAAGTATATTAATTGGCATCTAAAAAGAGAGTTAGAAAATGGTAACAATAAATAAAGCCAACTGCTTATATAAGGCAAATTACTACTTTAAAAGAAAGCAAAAAGCAAGAGTTTTTAATCAAATCTCATTATTATTACATAGGGATTTTCCCCTCCTTCATATTTAAGGAAATGAACTGATTTCCCCACCTTCACTTATACTCTGATTCAGTAAATCTTCCACTGAGGCCCCCAAAGAATTTTTCCAAAACAGCACTCTACTGCCACTCTTCTATTTGAGAAATTCTCTCAGCCCCCTGGCAGTAACAAAATAATTTAAACTCATCAGTATGGGAGATCAGGTCCATTCCATACCATTCCAAACTTAAAACTGAGCCTCTTTTCCTTCCATGCCTCACCTCCTTGCTTTCCACTAAATACAATTAAAAACCAAAGACCTAGCAGATCCCAAAAGACCTGGCTGTGAGTGTGATCTGGCTGTGACACCTGTCACCTCATTGACCATCAGGGATGATTTGGCTGATGTGACTGGCTATGTGGGTATCCCCTTCTCCCTCACCACTCCATGTGTGTCCTTCCACTTGTTCTATGATGGCCACCACCCCACAGAGGAGGACCGTTTCCTCAGTCAAGTGTATCAGGTATACTGGTAGCTGCGCTCCCCTGTTAGAACCTCCACACAAGATCTCAAAAGACCAGGTCTTCAGAACTCAGTTGCCTTTGATTAAACTATGATACATTTTTAAGAACCAAGCACCATTCTAAGCTCAGAATAAGGAATCAGTTTATATATAAATTAGTTTGTTATAATAGCTACAAATACTAACTTTATTGTCAGAATCTGGATTGTCTTAACTCTGCCATTTACCAGCTATGTAACTTCCCTTACATAGTAATCATGCCAGGGATTTAGCTCAGTGGTGTCGCCATCTGCCTTGCAAGCACAAGGTCCCAAGTTTGATCTCCAGTACCAAAAAACACAAAGGAATCACAATACCCCATTTTAAAAAGAGGGGAAATAACAGTACCTATCAGACAGTTACTATGAGAATAAAAGAATGCAGACTTAGAGAAAGCATTCAGAAAATGTAAACTATTGTTACTCCCTTCTCCTAAACTCTTTGCAGATATAGAGCTAAATTCTTACTGTATAAGAGTAAAGTCATAGTTGGGCATGGTGGTGCACACCTGCAATCTGGGAAGTTGAGGCAAGGGGATCACAAATTCAAGTCCAGCCTGGGCAACTGAGTAACTTAGTAAGACCCTATCTGAAAATAAAAAATAAAAAGTGTTGGAGATATAGCTCAATGTGAAGGCCTCGAGTTCAATCCCCCCGGAAAGAAATTAAAACAAAACAAAAAAAGAAAAGAGAAAGAAATCAATCGATCAATCATGTTTAGAGATCTGCCTTCCCAGAGAGATCCTCAACTCAAGAAGAGGGTCCAGATTTTATTTATCTTTGGAATACTGTAGCAAATTGTATTTTCAAAGATTGTTATCTCATATCATTAATGGATGGGTGTTTCCTCCCCTTAAAATTCAGCCAGGTTCTGGGGCTGTTTTGATTAATGTGATAAAGCAGAAATAATATTTTCTGCTTTCTGTAGTTTAGGTCATAAACGGTGACAGCTTCTACCTTGTTTGCTAAAATACTTGCTCTTGAAAACTCCAGCCACTATGTTGTCTCTCTAACTTAGCGTAAAGACACAAAGCAGACCTTGTAAGAAACCTACATAGGGCCAGGCACAGTGGCATGTACCTACTAGGTGTCTCACCTACTAGGAAAGCTGAGGCAGGAAGATCACCTGAGCCCACAAGCTCAAGATCAGCCTGGTCATCACAGTAAGACCCTTCCTAGGTAGGTCCTCGGACCACATGAACAAAGATGTCCAACCAGCTACTTCAGTCTTTATTGTATATTCCAGTACATTCACAGTAGCTTTAGAAACTTTAAGCCACAACAGCCCAGGAATTTGCCTGCTCTTACCAAATTCCTTGTCCACAAAAGCCAAGGGAGATAACAAAATGACTGTTGCTGTTTTACATCATTAACTTTGATTGGTTATTCAGCAACAGATAACTGGTACTGTGAGCCCTCAATAAATAATAGTGCTATAGTCCTCCCTTATTCACCATTTCACTTTCCATTTTAGTTACCTACCCAAGGTCCAAAAAGTACATTACAAGTACGATTTTTTTGAAAGAAAAGGAGACTACATTCACAGAACTTTTAGCACAGTGCATTGTTGTAACTTTTCTATTTTATTGTTGTCAATTTTTACTATGCCTAATTTATAAACTAAACTTCACCTTAGGTGTGCAGGCATAGAAGAAATACAGCGTATTCAGGGTTCAGGGATATCTCTGGTTTTAGGTAACCAATTACAATGGTGGCGAACATATGGCACAGGTGACACAGTGGGATGTTTCTATCATTGAAAGCTCTAAAAGGTTCCTCATCACTGCACTAGGGGATAGGTCTTGGAACATATTCCACATAGATGAGGGTAGATTACTATATGTGCAAGTTGGTGGATTAAGTTACGGTCCAACAGTGGTTCAGACACAGTGAAGAAATCAGCTTGACTGAAGAATGTTTATTTTACAAAAGTACTGTACAAAACTTAGTCAGGGGACCAAGAAATGAAAGCAGCAGGGAAAAGAGGAGGGGTAGGGGATTTAAAAAAAGAATTAAGATATGGTACGTACATGTACCAACTCCTCACGATAAATGTAATCATTATGCTCAGCAAACATGTGCTAATAAAAATGTTAAAAGTACTTAGACAAGAGCGGTAAGCTAGTAGTACTCCTGAGAAAAATAAGGAGAATAGGTTTTTTTACTTAGGGAAGAACAAGGGGTTAGCAATGCTTTAGGAAGAATAACCTAGCAAAGACCCCTGTAGAACGGGGCTAAGAGTAGCGCCCATCTCCAGAGATGGCTGTCAAACTTAAATAACAGGAGCACATACAGCACTTTCAGGATGCTTACTTGCCCACCACACTGAAGGTGACTGGCGTTGGTTGCTGCTATGTACTGTACTTACGGTTCTGCAAGGAGAAAAGTCTGAAGAGACAAGTGCTCTCCACTCTCACGGAAACTTGCAGAAGCAGTGAAGCTCAACCAAACCGTGGAGTAGGACACACGGGAAGGCAGAACACACCAAGGGGATCAGGAAGGGATGACAGTTTCAGGAAGCGGGGCGCACACAGCTAAGAGACTGACAAACAGAAGGTGGACGTGGATTGAGAAGGAAGTCATCCCAGAGATCGGCGCGAGCGGTCCTCCCGGAGAGGAGAAGCTGGGAGCGCGAACGCAGACCGGTAGAAAAAAACCAAGTAATCAGGAAAGATCGAGACCAAGGGCGACGGGACAGAAAGTGCAAACGTGACACGGTCTAGACGTCACGTCGCAAAGTGGTCAGGAAAGCTCTTCAACCTGGGGCTCAAGGTTTCAGAAGAGAAAAAGCTTCTGCGACAGGCAAAGCGCACGCCTGGCGAGATCACTTCCTCGCCACCCAAAGAAGCCGCGGAAACCTCCGTTAGATCGAGAACTACTCCCTCACTCTCACATCTTTCCTCAATTAGCATGAACGAACTAATGAATGATTCCCCCTCCCCGAGACACCTCTAGCCGCTGGACGCCAGGAACTCGCCTGAGAAAGTACGGCTTCGCGTAGAACTTGAAGTCGACCCCCTCGAAGTAGACGTCGAACTCCGAGACCCGGGCGTAGGGCAAGCGGATGGCAATGGTCAGGAAGTCGGAGTCCTGACTTAGGTCGAACGCTGGGGTCAGCATCGCGGTGCGGGACGAAAATGTCTCCGCGGTCCAAACTCTCCGAGAAAAGCCCAAGCGCACGCAACAGCGTGGACCCCGCCGGCGCTTCCGGCTCAAAGCGGAAATGCTCTGGAGTGAGGCATTGAGGCAGGAAGTCCCGCCCATGCCGATCTCCATGGAGACTGGACGCGTTTAAGGGAGAAGCGAAGCTTTCAGAGAGTGAGAGTGTAACGAGGGTTGCCTGCCTGGCCAAACAAGTTTAACCGAGAAGTATTGGAGGAAGCAGAACAAAATTTCACCTTACACACAGAAAACGTCTGTAGAGGTTCTTAGAGGTGATTTTAACAAGATTGAAATTGCAGTTAGTCAAATGAGGTTGGATCCCTTCTCAGCCATTTCCTTTAGGAAAGTTTCAAAACATCTCTGTGCTTCCGAAATCTCCTCTATAAAATAATCTCCTAATAATAAGCTAGGTTCGTAGAGCTGCTATAAGGATAACAAGAAATCATGCACGTGTTGCTCTAACAACGTACCTGGCAAGCGGTCAGCTCTGCTCTCTGCGTTGGAGCAGGTACGCAATAGCCACATCCACATCCCTCCTGCGGCGTCCACTTTACGTGCTCCCCCTTCTCTCCGATTCTTAACTCCTTATTTAAATAGAGTTCTCTCATTAACAGAGCCCGTATCCACTAGTCGCATCTAATGCGCCCTACAAACACCAAAGAAAAATGGTTGTAGTGTAATGGACAGACAGTATGTTTTGTAATCGTGAATTTTACAGTGCTCAAAACCCAGACCATTTGGCTCTTAAACTGTCAGTGCCTACTCTGATAAATTTCGGTCCCTCTGTATTCCGTTTCTTTTCTTTTGCTTTTCTCTCTCTCTCATTTCCCTGATATTAAATATCACTGGGACAAGGTTGAACCTCATCTCCTAAGTCAATAAAGACAACTAGATAATTTCAAAAGCTCCTTTATGATTTTAAGGAAAGTCTTGAAACCTAATTAAGGTTCAGATTAAAATATTAACAGATGCTGACATTCACTCACTATGTACCAGAACTGCAGAAAGCCCTTTATACAATCTCATTTTCTCTTCCTGCAGCTCTGTGAAGAAGGTTTTAGATATTCCCTTCACTTGCACAGGACTGCAGAGTTCATAAGCAGTTTTGTGAGAACTGAAATACAATTAAGTACCGCTTGTGTGCCTAGGCTCTAAACCACTACAGAGCCGATTCCCTAGAAACCACTATAGTCGACTCCCTCTAATAGAACCACCTGCCCCTTTGTTTCACAATCCAAGGCCACCTGCCTGACTTAGACCACAATGATCCTTACAAATAACAGGCACTCAATATTGACGAGGAAATTGATGTCAACCTGGAATCAGTAAAGCCCTTAAAGGTCCCTTGAGATAAGCCTTTGGTTACATTATCCCAATTAGCATCTCTAGAAAGGGTCTTTACCCTACCAGAGGACCTCATTCCTGTGCGTCACAAGCATTAATATTTTTAAATTATCAATGCCAGAGAATTAAATGAAATAAGCTATGCTATCCACAAGGAGCTTCCAATTAAAAGTACTTTATAAAGGAGAGCTGCGGTCTTCCAGGGTACTTTATTATGTGTTTATTTAGCAACGTAACTGCAACACAGAAAAACTGATGATATGGTACAGGGCATGGGGCTGCTATTATTTACAGAGAGTATAAGTTATACCTGCTATTAACAAAATATGGGTCGTTGCAACCGTAAAATGGGGTTTTGTTGTTTCGGGGGAAAGTTTTTAGTTCCTTTTATTTTTGTAAGTAATATTGATCTACTTTTGCATTTTTAAGTAGTGGCAAATTATACAAACTATAAATTCATTCACCTTTTCAAAACATAAAGTTTCATCTGACTGCTATACAACTTTGCTTCCCTCTCTTTCCCAAAGACAATCCTTCTAGCTATCCTTGGAGATATACATTTTTATATGCATTTCTATGTACTCTGTAACTTTAAATGTTAAAACTCACTTTATGTGGGGCACATTACCACACTACAAATGTATTTCTGCAGTATGCCTTTTTTCACTTTGGTACTTTCTGAGACATAGCTGCACAGAATCAGATCAAATTAAGTTCCTCTTTCTGGATACAAGCATTAATTCAGAATAAAGTCATTATCATTGGCATTTAATGTTAATTCTGATTTAAAGCAGGAAAGCGGGAGTTGAATTTTTCATAACTTTTGAGCCACTCAAAGAGTACAGTGTTAATTTTTCTTTTTCCATTTCCTTAAATTTACTTTAGGGTGGCCTTTCACTCTTAAAAATAGTTTTTCCCTTGGCCACGTTATTGAGGATATAGTATATATCCTGCTATTTTTATTACACCAAATTGGTCCCTCTTGTGATTTAACAAACCTGGTTGTTGTCTAAAGAGTATGGGGAAGTGGGAGGGGAAGGGGAAAGGAAAGAAGGGAAAAGAAAAAATATGAAAAAGGAAAAATATGGAGACAAAGTCTTCATAATGTAGGGAAGGATAGAGGGAGTGAAGGGTAGGCAGGGGAATAGGGAAAAGATAAGAACCAAGATACATCATGTAAAGATACAAGATCCCAATGATGAATGTAACTGTACTGTATACCTAAAATGTACCAGTAAGTTTAGTGGAAAGAAAAGAATAAGTCCAAAATGGAAAAAAAATCGGTTGTTATCCATAAGGTTCGAAATTAAGTGGTAAGAATACTTTCTAAATAATTTTAATTTAAACTTCCTTAGCAAGCTTCTAGTGTTAGTCTTTTGACAGTGAGATACTCCTTGTTTCCAGAAGGTGGCATGCCACTGGGCAGCCGAGATAATCCTCTCAACAGTTTTAACCTGGAATTTTTAAACTGAAAAATACTGTCCTGAATAAGCTGTTTACAGCTCTACTCCATTCTCTGAGCCATTTGGGGGGGGAGGGCGGTGATGGACTCATATAGAACTTGCAAATTACACATTAAGCTCTATTTTTATTTCAGTAGACAACTTTTCAGGTTCTTACTCAAAGATGTGAAAAAGTTTATACAAAAATGCTGCCATACTCTATAGCTTACTTTTTGCCTTTGTTATGATGTTTCAAGCTGAGGATTTAGCTCAGTGGGGCTAACCTGGCTCCCGAGTGCAAGGTCCTGAGTTTGATCCCCAGTACTGATATGTGTGTGTGTGTGTGTGTTTATTTAATCATAAATGTACCTTTGTTACTTATTATTATTGTAAGTCAAAAACAAAACTGAAGAAATTGATGTTTCATTTTGAAGAGAAAAAAATGAAACTAATACTGGAATCAAACATAAATCGCAAAACTAAAATAACACAGAAAAGTTAGACAGTAAACCAGATCACATATTTTGAATGTATCTACATCTAGATGTCTTGTTGTATAATATCAGTAAATACAAAGGGATGAGATAGCTTGAGTTTATTCCAAGCTATAAGCTACTTATAACAGGACTTGGGTGAATTCAGGAATAGCCAATGGACAAATGCAGAACTGTTGAAGAGGTTTAAGGAAAGGTCCAAACAACATGTAGACTGCACTGGCCAAAAGTCTGACGCTGGTGATAATCTGCAGTGACTTTCAAAGCATCGTATTCTTGACTATGCTTGTACAAACCTTTCCTTGTCATTAATTCCTAGTGCAATGACTATTAACAAATTGTATTAGGTAATATAACTAATCCAGATTATTTAAAGCAATGGTCTCCAACCTTTCTGGCACCAAGGACTGGTGTCTTAGAAGACAGTTTTTCCATGGCTCAGGGCAGGGGGTCTCAGGATGATTCAAGCACATTACATTTATTGTGCACAGCTGGGGATTTGGCTCAGTGGTTCTGCTGCCTGCCTTGCAAGCGCGAGGTCCCGAGTTCGATCCCCAGTACCAAAAACACAAAAATATTTATCATGCACGTCTAACATACAGTGAAATGATTATACAATTTACCATAATGTAGAATTATTAGAAGCCCTGAGCTTGTTCTCCTGAAACTGGATTGTCCCTTCAGGGGTGGTGGAGATAGTGACACCCAAACTGTGCTGCTTACATCCAGCCTACTCCCTAATCTTGTCTTGGTTACCACCACTGCAGAAAACCTGACTTCACGAAGATGCTGGACATGGAAGCAGGCTTTTAGGGCTTTAGGAGCAATCTCAGGATATTCCACCTTGACTTTAGTTCAGAAGATATGGAGATTGACTTGTCTTGTCTCAAACATAATTCGAAGGCCACTGACATTGATGATATCCAGCAGTCTGTCTGCTTCCAGGATGGACAAAGTTAATTCATCTGGCTTATTCATAATAGGCTCACAGATCCCTTCCTTCCCAGTTCAGGGGTCTGTTGTGGTTGGGAATTAATGTGCAAAGTCTTTTGAACGCTGAGACAGATGATCGTGTACCAACTGAAAGAGTGAAGGTCCTGGCTCAGTCTCTTTCAAAATCCCTGCTAGCATGTGAAATATGTCAAAAGTTGAGATGTTCACTTCCCATCCCCATAACTCCTGTCCACTTTACTGTCGACTTGAACACAGTTGTCATTCTCCCCAAAGTGACAGACTCGGTTTGTTGAGCAGGTTGAATGTCACATGAGTAAGCAAGTTTTGAGACCCATTCATTATCACTGAAATGGGCTACCAGTGGTGACTGTTTTTCCAAAAGAAACCTCTGGCATGTCATAACTTTAAAAATTCTGGGCAGTGATCTACCTTTAGAAAGCATCTCGGGGTGGAGGATTTAGCTCAGTGGCACATACCTACCTTGCAAATGCAAGTTCCAGAGTTCGATCCCCAATACCAAAAAAAAAAAAAAGAAAAAGAAAAAGAAAAAGAAAGCAAGCCATCTCCCCTGTATAAGAGAGACGTGCTCTGCATCCGTGTCACCACAGAGTTACATGAACAGACATGAGTTACATGAATGAGTTCAAGACCAGCCCGAACTACACAGCAAAACCCTGTCTGAAAAACAAAACAAAAAACAAAAAACAAAAACCTCATGGGCTTCCTTTCTTGATGCTCTGGGAAGAAGAAGAGAAAATAATGATAATAAATGATGGGAAATGTTAACTTCAAAATGTAATTTCAAGAAATTTGGATT